TTTATAATTGAGTTCTCAACTAATTTTGCTAAATATTTATATTTATCAGACTTTTTACTCACTAACGACAAGCTATAAGAAAATGTTACGGTCCCGTTACGAAACAATTTCATCGAAAATTGTAACCGTTAGATCATCATGTAACCGTCGTGCATAGTTGAACTAATAACGGTTATAAATCCGGACGAAATGGTTCCATAACGGAACCGTAGAATCTCTTATATATGTTATAAATTAACTTATCAACTACCAACAAATTTATTATTTAAATATAAAAAAATATAGTATCATATTTTCTTATGTAAAGTTTTTTTTTTTTTTTTTTTTNNNTTTTTTTGCAAATTAATAAATAGAGCCAGTGGGGAGGCTGTAGATTTTAGTAGCCTAATTATTAGTTATCATATAGGGTAAAAATCTCATTTGACCCGAATTAATTTCTTCTGCTCCAATCTCCATAATTAATTACAACCTTTTTCTAGCGGTTTCTTGCATAAGTATGTTATGCTTTCAATTTATTGTGGGAAGAGGGTTGAGTTTAATATTTATTACATTATTTTTCTTTTTATTTTTTAATAGTACTATTATTTTTCTTTAAAAAAATTAAATTATCTTAAGCAAATGTATTGTTATTGAGGAGAACTTGATATATTAATGTTTTATATATAGTTAATAGATTTGGTGTATGTAATTAAACTATAGAATTAAACTATAGAACTTGATATATTAATGTTTTAAATTATCAGTTGATGATAAAAATATTTTTTAATATTAATTAGAAAAATAAAATTATTTATCAATTAATATACTTATATTTCAAGTAATTATATGATATAAGTTATAAAAATTACTATAATATAACACATGTAAGTCGCACAAGTAACTAGTGTTATTCTAAAATATATAATAATATATATTTTTTTGTAAAAATATAAAATTTAAAACAATTTTTCTCATTAATTTTAAAATTTAATAATAATTTTTTAACAAGTACCGGTGTAATACACGGGTGTTCTACTAGTATATATTGATTACATACTTATAATATTTATTTTAATGTGATTATTACAAAATGCATGGAGAAATTTCTGCATCTAGATCCTTTGAAAATGTAATTGTTACCAACTTAATTAATGCAAAAATGTAATAACTTGTTCACACAATTAATTAAAGAAAATGACGGAAAAAATTATAGTAACTAAATTAAAATAGCCCCAATTTATGTATAATATATATATATATATATATATATATATATATATATACATACAATCAACATTAAATAATATGACTAGTGTTAAGAGAAAATAATAAAATTGTGTTTTTGGAGATTGAGGAATTGTGCAAAAACAATGACAGCAGTTAAAGCCTACAAAGTTAATTTTGTCAAAAGTTTGTTGGGCTAAGAGTATGAAGCCCAAAGACGACAGTTTCCCTTTGTAGGCCCAGAATCATCGGCTCTCATCCTTCACACCAATTTCTTGCAAAAAAACCACTGCACTAATAATTGCATGGGATAACAAGGAAACAATTGAACATTCAAATCATCTCATATGGCTCATAAAGAAGAAATGAAGAAAAGAAGA